AGATTTCCCGGATTTTTCTTTCCTGCTTTTTTTTTTTTTTTAAATACATTGAACTTCATCATTTAGCCCATGATCAGTTAGCTGTGTATCTGAGCCCTGGGGAGAAGAAAACTCTGCTCCCACCTTTATGATGCATTCCCCCAATACCCAGCCCTTCTCTGGGGATCCTGATGCTGGTGCCTTGGGAGAATTGGTAACCGGTTAGAGGAGTGCATGATTTACCTTGAACAGCAAGGTCACTCTGTATCTAATACTAAGAACTCACTTTCTGGTCTGTTTCTCACCCCAGATTATATCCAGCTGTGTTGTTCAATATTATTGATCAAGAGGTTTTGCCTGCGAGACCAAATGGCATCATAAAATTATTCTAATAATACAAAGCCAATGGTTATGCCAGAAGTTTGAATACCAACTCTTCCTGACTTTCAAATACTGAAGGAAAAATTAAAATACAAATATTAATTCTTCTTACGGGACCAAAGGAATTAAAATCCAAAATAAAGTTTTCTTGCCATTGTGAATGAAGAGACCAGAGACGTGCTTCTGCCTTTCCTGTCCCATTGCCTGCATCAGAGGCGGCTCTTGGTGGCACAGTGTGGTCAGGAAATGGGTTCCATGATGGGAGAACCGAGCAAACACATCAGTGTGTCAAGCCTTTTGGGAGCCAGCTTCCCTGCTGCCAGGGGGATGATGCTATGCAGAGATGAGAGGCTGTAATGAATGTCATGGTGTTGGGTTGGAACTCGAGGTGTCGGTATGAGTTTATGGTATTTAGATGTAGATATTATATTAGTCAGGATTCTCCAGAGAAACAGAACTAGTGTGTACAGAGAGCAGGAGAGAGGAAAAGACAGACACCGATTTCAAGGCATTGGCTCACACCATGATGGGGGCCTGGCAAGCTTGAAATCTGCAAGGTAGACCAGCAGACCAGAGATCTCGGGAAGCGTTGACGTTGCAGCTCAAATCCGAACCAGTCTGCTGACAAAATTCCCCCTCGCTCCCGGACCTCAGTCTTTCTCCAAAGACCTTCAAGTGATGGGATGAGGCCCATCGACGTAATGGAGGGTAATCTGCTTTACTCGGTCTATCGATTTTAATAATCTCACCAAAGGGGGGAAAAAATACTTCCACAGCAACATCTAGACTGGTGTTTGGTCAAATTTCTGGGTACTTGGAAAGACAGCCAGTTTCAGCTCCTCTCCTCCATCACAGGATGCCATGTCCAAGGGAGGCCACAGCTGGGGAGGACAGGAATCTTGATGGGTAAGAGGAGGCTGGACTGAGATATGGGGCATTTTATTCATTCATTTATTCAATCTTTCATTTATGGCTTTTGCTTTCTTCCTATCTTTCTTTCCTTTATCCAGTTTTGTTGTTATTATTTAAGAGTTTAAAAAAAAAAAAAAGCTGTGGCATTTTCCAGAGGGTTCTTGTAAGAGGTAAGAAACATGAGACGGGAGACCAGATTTGAGGGGTGGTGAAGAAAAACACAAGGGCCTTCCGCTTCATCCCCTCGTGAGTCCAGCTCGTTCAATAAACATTGGTCGAACATCAGAAACATTCCTGGAGGTGAAGAGACATGAATCCAATGTGTTTGGGCCTTACAGTTATTTTATGAAATGTCAGAAGTAAAACTTCTCGTTCTTCCAAGGAACGGCATGACCCTCCCTGCCCTGAAGTCTGGAGGGACCGAGCCCTCCCTAAAGGCAGGCTCGCTCACGTTACAGTGGGGAGGACTTGGCCAGCTTGTCGGAAGCATCTTTATTTTGGTGACTCTTAAAAGTAAAATAGGGGCGCCTGGGTGGCTCAGTTGGTTAAGCCTCTGACTCTTGGTTTCGGCTCAGGTCATGATCTCAGGGTCTGAGACTGAATCCCGTGTGAGGCTCTGCCCAGCGAGGAACCTGCTTGAGATTCTCTCCCTCTCTCTCTGTCCCTCCCCCTCCCACTCTCTCTCTTTAAAAATAAGTGAATAAATAAGTCTTTAAAAGTAAAATCCGGAGCGCCTGGGTGGCTCAGTGGGTTAAGCCTCTGCCTTCTTCGGCTCAGGTAGTGATCCCAGAGTCCTGGGATCGAGCCCTGCATGGGGCTCTCTGCTCAGCAGGGAGCCTGCTTCCTGCTCTCTCTCTGCCTGTCTCTCTGCCTACTTGTGAGCTCGCTCTCTCTCTCTCTCTCTCTGTCAAATAAATAAATAAAATCTTAAAAATTAAAAAAAGGTAAAATCCATCATTTTCAGAACATAAAAAATTAGTGAACAAATAAGCAAATAATAGATGAAGTGACCCATGAGGGATGTTGACAAGATACAGAAAGAACACAGCAGTGGAGGGCAGGTGGGCAGATGGGGTGCCAAGGCTTCCCAGGGCTAGTGGCATCTGGGTTTGAACGACAAGACAGAACAGAAGTCAAATGCTAGAGGCTAACACAGGGAACCGATTGTGTTGTAGACACAAAATGGTTTAGGTGAATTGTCTTACTTAATTCTCAGAGCACACTTTAGGTACTGCTATTAATCCCATTTTACAGATAGTAAGACTGAGGCCCAGGGCACTAAGTGAGAGCTGGTTTGCCGACGCAAGCGATCCTGCTCTACACGGTCAACCCTGTTCTTTGACGTCACTCCATTTAAAAAGCTGGAACTGTCATGTGGATTGTTTTGCTTTTACTCTTTCCCACTGTACTGCAGAATCATATGCTGATTTTTACAGTACTGCAACATAGGCCCATCAGTGTTCTGCTCCTAGCTTGACTCTCAGTTCTCCTTTGGTCTCATACTCTCCTCAGCTGACCAGTGTTCATCATACATCAGGGAACAATTTTAGTCTGTAACTCTAACTTTGAAATAGAATATTAGGTGTATTAGCAGATGTGATTAGGTTTTACTACGTTCCTTGTATGTGCATGTGCTCAAATATGTTAGCAGTGAACACATAAAACCAGAATCATGCTGTAATTCTCAAAAGAGTTCGAAATGGACAATATGATTTTACACATTAGGGTTGAAAACGAGTTTTATATGCCAGAAGTAAGTGAGTAACAGCATTCATTTTGGAAGCGTTTCTTCCCTGTCTGGTGTCGTGACCCGGTTCTGCAGAGCACTGAGTGCAAATGGGGAAGCACTTCTACACTAGCAAATGGAAATAGGAAAGCTAATCTGTAAAACTACTAAAGAGATCAATGGAAGTTCTAAAACTATTTTGAGTTCTCAGTAAAAGGGCATATAATTAGAATTGAGTGTTTTCAAAACATATATCATAAATAATATCATATGAAAAAAAATCACTTTGAATGGTGATCAAAACATGCTGATTCAGGGGTGCCTGGCTGAGTACATTGGTTAAGCATCTGTCTTCGGCTCAGGTCATGATCCCAGGGTCCCAGGATGGAGCCCCTCTTCTGGCTCCCTGGTTTAGCAGGGAGAGTGCTTCTCCTTCTCCCTCTGCACCGCACCCACCCACCCCCGCTCATGCATTGTCTCTTGCTTTCTCTGTCTCAAGTAAGTAAACAAAAATTTTTAAAAATAAAAAATAAATTTAAAAAGGCTGTGAACATGCTGATTAAAACAAAAAGAAAATACTGTGTTCATATATTGTCATAGTAAGACTCAGAAAATATACAGTGATTCAGGGAATGTAGTAAAACAAACATCCTCATCCTCAAGGTAGAATATAAACCACACAATCTTTTCGAAAATAAATTCGTAAAGTGAATCAAGACCATTAAAACATTTGCATGCTCCGGCCAGGAATTCTACTTCTAAGGATCTATGCCAAGAAAAAAGATCAGAAGTGTGGACAGAGGTGTAGGTATAAAGACACGGTATGGTAAAAAACATAAAAAAAAAGTATATATATATATACATATATATATATATAAAATGGCATTTCTATAGAGCAGAATGTGGTATAACCATCAGTAATTACTCTTATGTAAAATGTTAATGACATGGGGGATGCTAATGGTATAAGGTCAAATGAATTAAATCTTTTTTTAAGAGAGAGAGAGAGAGAGGGTGAGTAGGGGAGGGGCAGAGGAAGAGGGAGAAGGAATGCCAGGCAGGCTCTGTGCCCTGTACAGAGCCTGATGTGGGACTCGATCTCACCACCCTGAGATTATGACTCAGTAGAAATCAAGAGTCATAGCTTAACGGACAGAGCCAAATGAATTAAATGTGAAATGAATTAAAATAGAGGCAATACCCTATGTGATATACAGTATCAACTAATATACAAATTCATTTAAAACCAATTTGAGAGTGTATTTTTTTCATTTAATTTCTATTTGATCAGTGTTATCAAAAAAGTTTATTCGATTTCTTTTAAGAAAAAAAATAACCATATTTTTGTTCATGCGGAGAGAACTGAATGATATGTTAGAATTACATTATTTTAGAATGGTTATGCATATAGACCCTGAAGTTTACTTTCTTACACCTAGTGGTTCATTATCCAAAACTTTGCATGGAAAAAAAAATTCTATTTTAATGCATCTTCCTCTGCTTTGGTCTCAGTTTCCTAAGTTTTCAAATGAAGCCTAGTCCGTCTAGATTAATGGTCTGCAAAGCTTTTCTGTGGAAAAAAGGAATGATACGGTACTTATCTCCACATCTCCATACCAAACCACTGGGGGAATTAGTTGCACCATTGAAACTTACTTCTGTTTTTACATATTCAAATTTTTGTTATCTTCCTTTCTAGGGCGAGATCCAAGTAGGACATTCACAACCATGCTGTGAATTTACAATTAAGGTTTACTGTGATTACTTGCGTGGCCCATGCAGTTAGAGTACCCCATTGTGCTTTGTGTTTTATAGGAGCATAATGTGCTATATTCTGTGGCACTTTAGCATATCATTCAATATAAATATAGTTATTTCCTGAAAATTGTGTGCAAGTTACAAAAATCAAATAACTTACAAGACTGTTGCTTAAATAAAACATGAACTAGTTTCTGATGGTGCTTGCTTAGTGTCTGATTTTTAATCCTGCTTTCCCCCCTAGCAATTCTTTGAGGTGGAAGAAGAGGCTTTTGTGCATGAATCAACTAGCATCAAAATGAGTGTTTTGTTAAAAAAACTGAAGGACAGAGAAGAAGTTATTAAGGAATTAAGAGAAGAACTAGATCAATACGAAGAGTCTAGACTTCAAAAATTTGTAAGTTTCAAAGCAATGAATAATTTACTTTAATATATATACATAAAGTTATAACTTTCCAAAAGTTTGGGTCAAGGGTAAAGGAAATACAAGTGGTATATCTTGGGTATCTCTCCACAACATCAGCCAGTCCAACCCTTTTCTCCTCAAGACATAGTCCAGAAAACCCATCATCATTAATAGGAGCCATACGATTGTTCTCAATTTTTATTTATAATAGAAATAAAATAACCTATTTCCCACTGCAGAAATTGTCCTACTCTAGAAGAGCATGTAGACTTTTGTTTTAATTTTGAAGACTCCAGCCCCGTTTTGCTGTTTAGCGATCTCTCCATGTCAGAGGCTTCCAGGAAATGCCATAGAACAGGAGGACCTTTAAGGAACATTCTTGAAGGGTTTTCCCCTAGTTCGCCTGCTTCAGAGGAAGCCAGAAGGTGGTTTACTACTTGGACAAAAGGACGGGTGGGAACAGAAATGGAAGGAGAGAGCAAGGAGAGGCTTAACTCCTGTCAAGGAGGAGAATTTTAAGGGCTCTGGAAAGTGTGGACACTGAAAGTGAATTCGTTTTCATCTCAAGTCAGCTTTGAGCCACTGGCTGTGGCCCAGCCACAGTTCAGAGCCACAGAAGAGTCTTTATTATTAGATTCTAAGATCAAGAAGCTGATTGAGTCGGAGAGGCTAGAAGAGAGGCCAGAGGAATAACGGTCTTTTGAATGCCAACTGGCAGGCACCACGTGCCTCATCAGTGGTACCTCTTCTCATCTCCTGGCTCAGTTTACGGAGGAGGAAGCAGAGACAGGGTGATTAAGTTACTCTTCCCAGGCACACAGCTAGTACATGGTGAAGATCGCATGGGAACCAGGTCCCGGCTGAAACCTGAAGCCCACAAAAGAATGTGGAGCTCTATGCTCTACAATAAGATGTCAAGGTCGTAATTTTCCAAATTAACTAGTTGGTAGGTATATATAAAATAGACTCTAATATTATACTATTATAATGTATGTATATTATTATTATTATAGGTATATACATATCCATGTAAATATTGACACATGCATAGATATGCACAGAAAAGGTCTGAAGAATTATATATCCAAATGTCAACACTAGGAGGAAACACTTACACGTTGCCAGTCCCTTTAAGAACAATCGACAGTTTACCTAAATCTCACACTAGTAATCTTATTTACAACTCCAAGTTTAGAAGAGATAAGGAATTCACTTGTCTCATCCTGAAGGATTTTGTTTACTAATTGGTGAAGAAGTGTTTAGTTTGTATAATCTATTAGAATTATTTATGTTCTTAAAAAAACCTGAGTATCTCCTAAGTAATATAATATTAACTGTTGATAGCATAGATCTAATAAAATTAAATACCCTTTTTACATGTTCTGATTGCTATGGAAGAGGCATTTCCAGTTTTCACGCTTACTTTAACCTTTTCCTGGGTCTAAATCCAGCCTTATGTTTTGGAGACAATAATTTAATAGAAAGGACTAAAACAACTATAATAGTTTTTGGCTTTTAATCCTGTCTTGATCAAAGATATCCAGCCCAGAAGGGCAGGGTGATGTTGGTCCATTTATTTCCCATTTGTGACATGCGCAGGTACCCGCCTAGCTAAAAGAAATAGTTGTGAGAAGGATGCCTGTTGTATTGAACGTGAATTGCTTTGAGTTCTTTGAGGAAAGCTGAGTATGTAAATCCCAGTTATCATTACGAGGAAATAACACAAGTCCCTGTGACTGACTAGTTTACGTTCTGTGAAATGCTCTGAACAGACCTCAGACCTCAGGACCTGTTCAGACCAACCCCGATTCGGTAACTGAGCTCCTGACACTAATCCATGAGGTCCGTCTTGTAATGCTTATATCTCTAAGTATCCTCAACCTGGCCATTGTTCCCTTTGACATCCTCTCTCTGAGGATGAAGATGGGTAGTGGCTTCGCAAGGACAAGGGAAGTGGGGGGCTCCATGCTGCTCTTGTATCAGTAGGGTGTTCCCTGGCTCAGGAGGGCGTCCTGAACACCCTGGTCATTCCACTATAATTTGTCCCCAGGGAGACCACATCACAATTTCTGTAAACACCTTAAGATCTGAGGGAGTTGAGATACTCCTGATTAAATAGGAGTATACATTTCACCCAGCTCCCGGGGACCCCAATAAAATGTATGGTGCCAGTCTCCCACCTTGATTAAGGGCAAGGTAGAGCGGTCTGGGACTGGCGTGCATTTCAGGAACATGGACATGAAGGCCGCAAAACAGATCATGAGTTATACAAAGTAAACTTATAGAGGATACTTTTTTTTTTTTTTTTTTAATCATCTAAGATTTCCTAAAACTCCACGCCATGGAGGTTCTGGAAGAGATCTTTTTTTTAATTTGAATTTTCATCTTATACAACTGCTCCCTCTGGTGGTTAAAAAAAAAAAAAAGCTTGAGCCACCAAGCATCTATTAGATTTGGAAATCCCAATTCGGAGAACGAATTGGAGAACTTCAAAGTTGCGGTGGAGAGAACTTGAAACCACTCGAAATCAGCAAGCTGAATAAGCAGTAGGGAAACACTCTAGTTCATTCTTACCGACAGTCCAATTACATGAATAGCTTTACAGTTAATAGGTAGTCACAATATCTCTCTCTAGAATGGTTTTCGAGAAAAATCTGATGAGAATGTGATCGCAAAGGAAAACTTTAATAGACAGCGAGCTTAAATCAGATTTATAACAAAATGGAAATCAGGAAAGGGAGCTCTTCAAGTTATAGAAGCCTCATCTCTCCAGGCTTGATGTCGAATATCCCTCCCGAGCACCGTCACTCAAGGACTGAGCGTCATTTCCAGTTCAGCTCTGTAGGAAACCGTCGTGACGTACCCATCTGTCCCTGTGGCTCTCTGGTTGCGGTGCTGTCCGGTGATCAGTCCCCTGGAGGCTCGCTCCCGGAGGCTGGCCTGTCAGAGCGCATGCGCCCGTGTGCATGTCTATGTCCGCACACGTGCCCATGCATTTTAATAGCGATCGGAGTTGTCCGTTTTGAAAAGACTTCATTTTTCCCCCCTTACTCTCCCATAAATGACCTGGGCAATCATCACCCTCTTCCCCGCCCCACCCCCCAGAAGGGAAAGTAACTGTTTGCGGCTGACAGCTCTGAAACAGAGCTGTCCGTCAAGAGTGGCGGCTCTGCAGGGCTGCACCGCCCCAGTGCGCCACTTGCCTGGCTGTCACTCACTGGGAGAGCACCTGCTCCTCTCCACGACTGTCAGGCAGCGTGGGCACGCATCAGAAGCCTACTGCAAGCCCCAGCAGCAAATTGAGATGTCCAAGCACCGGGGAGCCTGCGGAATTGCGATACCAATAAGGCAGAAGGGAGACTGCTGAGAGGCACATGCGGGCTCTGCACAGGGCTCCTCACCCTTTATTGTGCCTGTGGATTCCCCGTGGCTGCAGTGAAGACACGGGTTCTGACACTAGGTCTGGGCCGGGGCCTGAGATGCTGCGTTTCCCATACGCTCCTGGGTGAGGCCGGGGCTGTGGACCACACTTTGAGTAACAAGGCTCTACCGTACACCAAGCGTTCGAAAATGATTCTTTCGCGACCTGTTTAGGATTCCGAAACCAGGGAACAGGGATCGTGCCCCGTCTGGTGAATGGCGCCTAAGCCACCGCCAGAAGTCCTCGTTTTCACAACGTGATAGGAAAACTTTGTCAGGTTCCTTTAGAAATTTAAAATTCCAGAACGATCGTGGATCCCACACGATCTCTCTGCAGCTACAATGCCGCTTTAAATAGCTACATGTAGTTAACCACCTTTTAATGATCTCCCTCCTTTTTAACCTCGGTTTATTAACGCAGTTTATTTTAGAGAAGTCTCATGGTTTAAATAAGCCAAAAACTAGTGGTGTGGGCAGATGGTAGAAGGAACACCACCACAAAACCTGCCACTCAGAGTGTAACAGATGACCGTGGCAGCCCAGAACTATCCCTTTGTTCATTTTGCTAATGAGTGTCCTCATTGCTGGGGGAGTCTGAATAGTTAATTACCTGCAGTTCCTGCAGCTGACAGATGGTGGGGACAGAGCTAAAGATTAACCTCACAAGGACGGGGTCTGTGTAGATGGATATGAAGAGGAAAACCGTCCAGTTGATTGTGTTTTCCTTGTTTCCTGCTTTTATACGAGAGTTTTGGAAAACGCACCGAGGAAATAGCTGCCACCACTTACACATTTTATGCTTCGTGTGATTAATTCAAATAGGTCTTGTTTAGTTTATGATAATGAGGGCTCCTGTCATAGGATATTCTTATTATGTTAGTTAGGAAATGTATGCTTAAGACTTTGGAGACAAATATTGCTTGTTTATTTGTTTGTTTGTTCGTTTGTTTAAAAATCCCTTTTTAGTCTATAAGTACATTCTGTGATGGTTTCAAATTGAACTGTGTGGGACTAGAAATTAATGACTGGGGTTCTTCCTTTATTCCAACAGTGCTGTTTATTAACTATTAGATTTGTCAGTTCTCATCAATTAAGAATGAGTTGGGCTCAAATAATGTAAATGAAGTGGTGGGTCAAAATCACGAAGATTTGTATTGGTTTAGTGCAAAACTTAGCGTCGTTTTAAAAATTAACTCTGATGTGACTAACTTCATTAGTAGGCAGCTTTCTGTTGAAGGTACTGGCTTTATTAAATGTACTGCAGAAATTGTAGCCACTCGTTTTCCTTCTGAGCCATTATGATCACAGAGTAAAACATTTTAATAATTTACTTTTGGATCTCTCTAAATTTAAATAAAAATACAATTCTGAAAGGAACCCAGTATATTGGGAGTGAAGATTCTGTTTTTGAGAGATCTTATTTTTGTGTATTGGCAATCATGGCATTGCGGCGAAAAGAATACATTATAATTGGTCTGAAGATTACTTCAACGTTCGAAAGCACTTCTGTTAACTATATGAATTCTGAAGCAAGGCATATAGAACCTTCTATTTCTTTTAACATAATAATATAATGACTTTTTAGCGTGCTCCTTAATATTTTGAGGTCGCGTGATCGTTTAATATTTTACCATCAGGAAGTAAAAAGTTCTGCACCAGCTTCCCCAGTCCATTACATCTTAATTAAAAAAAAAAAAAAGTGTGGCAGTAAAATCCAGACAGCCATAAGCGAGAGTATATTCAGATGTTTTTCAATAGCTTTGAAACAGACAAGAAGAAGAAGAAGAAAGGAAGAGTAGCTGTCCCAATAAGCTTCTATTGCGTAAGAAAAAGCCTCTCCCATAATAATGGACATGGCAAGATTTAAACAAAAGACGCACATAATAAAAATGTAAATGAGTTTGCTTTACTAAAACTATAACTTTAAAGTCCTTTGTTGTAAGTTATCCTGAAACCTTCTTACAAGGTAATCGCTGTTTGCATAGAGATTTAAACCGAAGTCTTCAATAGCATTAAACGCCTGCACAGTCCCCAGTGTGACAGGCATGCAAAGCCACGTTAATGTTCAGAATATGAATTGCCTCTGGGTGGCTCCTCTACCAAGCCGAAAACCAACTGTGTGGATATCCGCGCGCCTGATGGGCTCCATGCGGCTCCCAGCCTGAACACGTCACCGCTTTGACATGTGATGTGCTCCTCATGACACTGGCAGCGCCGACACTGGGAAATGCCACAAAGGCAACAAGCCCCCCTCCTTAGCCGCGCACTTTGCCACCCCCTGGCGCTGCCCGTCCCGGTCCCCCCAGCCTGCCTAGTTACAGGCGGACAGCGCTTCAGACACACACAGAGGGAAGTGTGGGTGGAGAGGCCCCAGCTGCCTCCCCGGGCGCAGCCTCCATAATGAATTGACCTGAATGATGAGGGCACACAAACAGTATGATATGCATTATTCCTGTCAATAAAATGTCCCCATGTGCTGTGGTCTTTGTACAGACTGTACTGCGGCCTTTCTCCCAGCGAGCTCTATTTAATCTCCTTCCTTTTTACTATTCATATTATAAGTGTGTAATAGAATTCAGAAAATTATATGATAGCTCTTCTGCATCTCTATTGTCTTGTGTTGCATATTTAAATGCTTGGCTCTCTGCTTAGAGACGCGGATCTCCCCATCTTTCAGGACGCTTTTGCCAGAGAGACGATGCTAGAGAGGGAAAATCTGGAGTACAAAGTGGCAAACGAGAGAATGCTGCAGATCATTGCAGAGCTCGAAGAAGCGATCAGACTCAACCTAAAGGAAAATTCAGTACTAGGTAACCTTTTACAGTCGTTTTTGAGAAAAACCTATGCATCGGACACTTCATGAAGTCCGTGGTGGCAGTCATCTTCACCGAACATCCGTTTGCTTGGTTATTTACGTGTACAAGATCGGCTTGATAGCCATCTTTGGTTTTCATTGAAGATGGCATTCCTTGCTTGGGAAAGACGGTTTATTTGTGGTTATATTCTTGTGCCATTCTAAATCAAGGTGTTTTCCACTCCCCCCCACCCAAGTTGAGCGCTGACCTTTGAAAAATGTACTAAGCAGTGCTCTATTTCACTTAGAAATATTATAAAGGAAAGAAACTTTTGCTGATTCCTGTTTCACATGCTTGCTTATCTAAAATTTGTAACCTTTAAGTACTCAAGCACACAGATTGGGGTATGCTTTGTGGAGGAACTGAGTTGGCCCTTCAGGAAAATATGGCACTATTTACTATGGAATGATCTTCAATTTTGGACAAATTAAAGTACAAATCGTCATGCGTATGCCTCATACTCCCCTTTTTTACATACCATAAGCGTTGGTAAAAGTTCCATTTAAATCATGTGTTTTAAAGTATTTTTTTCGCCTACTGTTATCTTTGTATTTCTGTTACTTACATGATGTTCCCCTTACCTGCAGGGATGAAAAGCAATGAAGAAGCAATTAAAAAAAAAAAACACTTAACAGCAAAATATTGATGAAATCAGATAGATTACAGTATCCATTGACTATAAAATATACCATACCAGTGTAGTTTCATTTCCCTTCTAATGTGGTGTGATACCGCTTTTTCAGGCTTTGGTAGTTGAGTCACAAAGTGCCACCTGCTAAAACACTTTGCATTGGCTGTGACTAACAGCAAAAATGTCCATTGCTAGTATCGATCAAAAGCTTTCAGCCCTCAGCCACACTTGGATCTTGAACTTAGTTCTTAATCCCTATCTGACCAGCCTTCTGAACAGCAGGAAGAAGGCTGTGAATGTCAAGGGCAGTTGTGAAGGTCACAGTCCTGCTAGGACTTGTGTCCACCATGCCTGCCAGCAGTGTGCAGCCTGCCCTGAAGCAGGGAGCTTGAATACAGCGCCGTAAGCTTGTAATTTCATGGTTGGCCTCTCTTTCCTTTTGTTTACAGAAGATGAAATTATAACTCTGAAAGAGAAGGTAGAAAAGAATCATAGAACTATTCAAAAGGTACTGTAACTTTTTACATTGACGAACGACTCTTTTACATTGAAATCCCGGCACAATGAGTGAGATCACACTGTGTCCCGCTTGTCTTGGGGTGTGGAGAGAAGTCCATTTCCGTATTTAATCTCTCTTGTGATTTGGGTAAGGTCTCTGGTAATCAATAAGGATTCTGCCTTGAAAATGAATTAATGTACAGATGGTTCTTTTCTTTGGGATAACTGAGTGTCTACCTTGTTGACTGTAAGGAACTGGAAAGTAATATGACACCAGGGGTCCGAAGATGTGCTTGTGGGAGAATTCTATTATTAAGAACGAGCAATCTTATTTTCAGCCCAGATGGGGCTTCATGTTCATTTTTGTGTTTGCACTTGAACTGAGCTTATGCTATGCAGGGAATCTGCATTTTGAACAGGATTTCTTTTGGTGTCAGCAAGGTCAAGGTCTCCCAAGGCATCCAAGGCAGGAGGACCACAGCAGTCCCGCCCTCCAGCACAGGTCGGGCTCCCCTGCTTTGGGCTTTCTTAACTCTCTGTGATAGCATCCCATCCTAGCTATCAGCACATTTTCAGTGAAGGGCCATCTTCCCTGCCGCACTGCTAGCCTCACGAGGGCAGAGATGGTAACATCTCCATTTCTGGAATATTCCCAGTGCTGAGCACAGTGCTTGGTGCACACGGGCAGATGCTCTCAGAGTGATTCATAGAATGAGAATGCATTTAGAGCTCAGGAAATTTACAGGTGAAAATGTGTATTTACATCCCTGACTTATTCCAAATAAACATCAATGTTCTCACCAAATCGAGTGCCAGTTTGAAAATGAAAATTAACTGAAACTGGATAACATTCAGTTTTAATGAAACATTCATTCCTGCAGAGGCACTAGCTGTGTTTCCAGCGAACAGCCACCTGTGCCTAAGTTTGGGTCCAAACTTCAAGCTGATTTTACAGTTCAGGGTATTCTTGGGTTTTCAGTAAAATTACTCTTACAAACTATTATTTTTTTTTAAGATTTTATTTATTTATTTGACACAGAGAGAGAGAGATCACAAGGAGGCAGAGAGGCAGGCAGAGAGAGGGGGAAACAGGCTCACCGCCAAGCAGAGAGCCCGATGTGGGGCTCGATCCCAAGACCCTGAGATCATGACCTGAGCTGAAGGCAGAGGCCTAACCCACTGAACCACCCAGGCGCCCCTACAAACTATTTTTTAAAAACTTGGTTACCCCGAAGGGTCAGAGATGGGGGATGATTTCTCTGAAAACCAGACCCATCACAGGGGTTTGAGGAGCAAGTTCATTTTCTTGCACTTCCCCCTGTTTGCAGTGGAGACAGCAGGAGTCCCATCCTCGCAGAGAAAACAAGAGTCTGTGGACAGACAAGTTTAGCCTTCTTGACATCAATGTCGACAACTGAAAAGGTAGTCCCAGCTTTCCGGTGTCACTTAGCCTCCAAGGAAGGTTTAAATGTTTCTAGAAGTGTTCAGTCTATCCTGTCACTGGTAGAGATGAGTTGTGGAACCTTACTATTCTCTGCAAGGAGCACAAGAAATTAAAGCAAAAAATCTGACTAGGAAACCACTAATTAGAAAGAAACATACCCCTTCGAATGACGAGTTATACCCTGTGTGAGCGTAAAGATTTCAGTTAAATGCATCCTCAGCTTCCTTAGGTCTGCACCAGCCAGTGGTAGCCCCGTGTGTCTAGTTGAACATATGAATTGTATCTGGTACAACTGAAGAACTCAGTTTTTAATTGTATTTCATTTTAATTTTTTAATTTAAATTTATTGAAAACTGATACTTGTTTCAGTTTATTGGGAAACCTTTATGTATATTTTAAATAACTTGGTATGTGAATCTGCTTTTTCTTCTGTAAACTTTATGCAATCTAAATACAGATCGGGTATTTCTGATGAAGTTTTAGCCCCCACATTGAGATATGCTGTATGTGAGAAGTACACACTGGGTTTCAAAGACTGCATTTAAGTGAAATATCTCAGCAATGCTTTTTAATATTGATTATTACACATTGAGATGATAATATTTTGAATGAGTATTTGGATAAGAATATATTATTAAAATTAATTTCTCTTACTTTTTTTTAACAAGGCTACTATAAAATTCAAAATATATACATATATATATATATATATATATATATATCTTATACCATATTTTTAATTCACAACTCTCTTCTAGGCAAATATAGCAGATTCCTAGCCTGATTGATCATTTCTTAAATCCTTTCTCTTTTCTTTTTTTCTTTATATGTACTGGACCACCACAGAAACATTGAATACAGGCACAATTTGGTATTGAGCAGAAAGACTCTTGAACCTTGGTTTCCTCTTCCATTTCCGCCACTGTGGTCCCTTGGGCCAGTGCCTTATCCTTCTTCCTGTCTCTCACAGGCTTACTGTGAGGGTAGAATGAGATAATGCGCGTCCAAGTGCTTTGCCGATTGGAAAGCACGTCAGGAGTTGTTGAACAAATGCGAGCTGATATTTACTGGTTTGGTTTCCAATATCCTCCACTAAATCAATTAATTCAGTAATGTTTATTAAATGCCTTTTAGTGCCAGGCATTAAGCTACTGTTGAGATACAAAAATCACACACACACACACACACACACACACACAGCCCTGCTGTAGAGCAGATTAAATCTAGAGCAAGAGACAAAAATCCTAGGGCTGTGTGACGTGGACTGTAATGGAAGTATGTACATAGAGAAAAGATGTCTAGCTTTACCTGGAAGGTTCTAGAAAGGCTTCACACACAGTTCCACACCTATTTCACACTCCTTCAGTGGAGCTGATCTTTCCAGGTAGGTAGGAGGGTAGAAGCGCTGGGTTCAGAGCGTGAATGCGTAAGTGTGAGATGTGTTTGTGGACTTTTTTGTGATTTGATATGGCTGAAGCATGAGGTAGGAATCCAGTGAGCCATGTATGAGCATTTGTCTTGGGGCAGGAAGAGGGGGAAGGGGTGAGCAGCTCAGAAGCCCCTGAATAAGACACACGTTGTCTTGTTTATCCCTGGATTCAGTGAAAACGAAGTTGGAAAATGGCCTGTAGCTGGTTAAGTTGATCTCTTGCCACCCACCAGGGCTTAAAGCACTGTCTATTATGATATTCAGTAACTTTCATGTTAAAATTCCAATAATCTAATAACAGCTGAATCTGTATTCCAGCCATGGCCATAATACGAATCCTTCTGGGAGGGAGTCAGCCAGAAGTCAGAGATGACAGCCCGGGGTGTGGTCAGCATCAGGAGGCAGGGCAGTGGAGACTGAGTACAGATTGCTCTGGGCCACGTGGGGGAGCCCAGCGTGGATTTTAAGGGGTCCAGGAAGGTTGGAGGAAGGAGTCTGAGCTGACTCCCAGAAGAGTGGTTCTAATAAGCCAGGAAGGGGACATGGGAGGTGGGAAGGGTCAGAAACATGCAGAAGGGAAGTAAGTGCATGTGATTGCCTACAGCTGAGGGTATGTGAGAGTCAGGGGTGTCAAGAAGCAGTGCTCGTGGCAGGGATTATTAATCATGCCAAGGGATTTGCATTGCCTTCTGAGGCCATGGGGGACCTTTAAATGTTGGGGAAGGATTGGATTCATGTCTCAGAATGAAAATGAGTGGGAGGAAGGAAAATCTAGAACCAGAGAGACCGGTTAAGAGGTTACTTGGATAAGCCAGGGAAAGTATAATCTGAAACAGAAAGAGGACAGTGATGCTGGGGATGACTGGGAAGGATGAATTCTAGGGATGTTTAGGCAGTAAACTCTACAGTCATTGATATGGTTGAAGCAGGAGAGGTAAAAGAGAAGTTAAGGCTGGTGAGCATTTGAGTGAAGATGAGAACAGGCAATGCGGAAAGCCAGAGAGGGGACATCCTGGAAGCAAAGCAAGGGGGAATTTCCTTTGCAGTGTGTCCTGCCACCAGCCATGCTAAAGGCTCAAAAGGGAAGATTAGGCAATTAGTCTGGCAACAGAGTGACCCCCGTGATATTAATGAGAGTGATTTTCCTGGAACTGTAGGAGCAGGTGAGAAGCTGGGTGAATGCAGAAGTGGAGACAGTGAGCGTGGGCAGCTCTCTGGAAGTTGGGCTGTGGATGGTCAGGGAGAAGTAGGGGAGTAGTTGGAGAGGGACGTGAGGCTGAGGGAGGAAATTTTTTAAAGAAGAAACTAGAATATTTTTGAATGATGCCAATGGAAAGACGAACGAGAGTGGAGACATAGAGCAGAAGAGGTCACTGAGAAGAGTAATCTAAGAGGCAGGAAGGATTGGGGTTAATGGTCTTTGACACCCAGTGAAAATTTGGTGACACTCCTTTTCAGACCAAGGTATGATGATTCAAAACAGAATCTTTTCCTTTCCTTCCACCTCATTCCATTACTTCCCCTAACCCTGCCATCAACCCTCCCACCTTATCAACTATACCGCTGTGTTCCTTCAGAGGCTCCTGTCTAGCCAGTCCCCACTGTTCTTCAGCCCTGCTCCCGTGGAGATGGGTCAATCCTTACCTGCTGGTGGCATTTCCAAGTGTATGGGGTTTTAACCCAGAGTGGATGCACCCTCTCTCTGTCTATCATTTTACTTGGATCTAATTAACACCCTTTCCTACTATCCCCTACAGCTCTTCTAATCTTACCACTACTTTTCTTAATTTCCATATTCCATCCTCCATGGTACTTTCCAATTCACAGAAAACATGGCGAACACTTGGATTTTTTTTTCCCCTCTGCGTTCTCTTCCTCTGTGCCTTATCTTACCTAGCCTTACCTTTACTTGTTTTGATCCAAACAGGATCATTCTTCTTTGCCCTGACTCATCCTTCCATCTATTCCCTGAATCATCTCTTCCTTCTCTTCTGGAACTTTCTTCATCAGCCCCTTTCACTCTTATGCCTTTTAAAATTTCCCTCTAGCCTAAGACATGGTGAAACCATCATCTTGGTGCTATCCATTGACCTTAATCACACCTAACCCATTGCCATTTACTGTACTTCAAATACTATTTAAAAGAAATCTGTGTTTACCAGTCCCCTTTTCATTCCCCCGATGCTAGTTTTTCCTGTAGATAAGGTCACAGTGAGATTCATATTGCCTTTGATCCTTCTTAGATTTTTTCCTTCCTGAATTATCTGCCATATGTGACAGGACTACTGGCTGTGTCATAGACTCTTCTGCAGCAATGTTCACTTCTGATTTGTCACACGATTCTTCATTCCTTCCTAAGCAATATCTGTCAGTGGCTTCTTCTCCTCCATTTTCCACTTGAATGCCATTCTTGGGAACTCTGTTTATCCTTGGTCTTCCTCATTTTCTCTCTAGCTAACGTCAGCCTCTCCCATAACTGGCACGCTTGCTTACCAGTGACTTCCAAACTTCCTCTCCTGCTTTGTGATTACCCTGAACACCCTATCTCTAGTTTCAACTCTGTTTTCATCTTTAATTTCAATGTTACACGCACTTCAACAGTCCCCATCCATTTCCTATGGTAATTAGGAGTTCTCTCTGTGGCCCTGCGTACCTGGGACTCTTTGCTCTCTTACAGTCGGGAACTGTCTTGTTTATATTCTTAATCATCAGACTTAAAAAATGTTTGCTGAAAAATTCCTTACATATGCATCAAACTCACTGTCAAAACTTGAACTCATTACACCTTGAATCTGGATTCTGCTGTTTTCCCCCACTTAAGTGAATGACTTTGATTGTTCATCAATCCCAAGAACAGATGAGAAATTGAGGGTCAATCTCTACTCTCTCCTTTCTACTTTATACCTGGTTGGTCACTTGATCTGATTATAATGTGGTTGCTGGGATATGTGGATCTTCATGCTTTTTAACCACCTGAAAATATGGCTTATTAACATATTTTCTTATGTATTATGGTCATTTTTCACGTTGCTCTCCTACCATACTGTAGATGCTCCAGAGGACAGTTTCTGTTCTACTTCATTTCTGTAACTCCGTAGACGAACACAGACCTCCTGGCATCCAAAAGGTGTTCCATTCATGTGTATTAAATGATGAATATATGAATTAATTGAGTGGATGTCAGAACCAAGGTTTGAAGTTTATCAGCATATATAACTGACATACAATATATGTATATAATATATCACTGATATATATTATATGTCATATACATATATGCACATATATATTATGTAACTGATATGTAATACATAATATATGATATATATCATTGATAATACATATCATGATATATATCAGTTATATTATATCAGTGTATATAATGTAATGTAGTATAAATATACACAAATGGTAAATAATCATTGAAGACAGTGAGGCAAGTCATAGGAGTAGAGTGTCTGCTCTTTGATGGTTGTTTTCAGCTGGCATGAAGAGAATCTGATGTGCACAGAAACAGAACACAAAAAACTAAAATAAAAGAAATGGGTCCTATAAAGAAAAAGCACAATTGCTCTTCTTGACAGTCTCTACTTACTTTATTATATATATATATATTATATATATATATAATATATATTATATATATATATAATATATATATATATATATATATCGATGCACATTTTGTTCGGGTAGTGTGAGGAAGACTGTAAATAAATTGGCATTTCCTGTGTGTATATTGTTTGCTTTTCTAGTAAAAATACAGTAATTATATCATAATATATTATTGTTACATGATAATCTACAGACATTTAAATTTTCTAAATCGTATTGGAATCCCCTTTTCTCCTGTTTAAAATCAAAATATGTGTTGCTAAATTCTACTGAGGAGGAATTTTAGGCGTTCTGTTCTTTTCTTTAATCAAAATGTAATATTCTTCTCTTTTAGCTGTTTGATGGTAGAGACAGATTACTGTGTGAGCTTGATTATGAAAAAGCATTAGTTCAAGAAATGGTAAGGTGATTTACATTATTTCCTAATGAATTTGAGATCAGGAATTCAATTTAATCATGAAAGCTTTATAAACTTTATCTATAAACCATGGTTTCCCCTTGGTCAATCTAAGTGCATGCCTAATTATAAGCTTTTTAAATTGAAGCATAGTTGAGACACGATGTTATATTAGTTTCAATTGTGCAACATAGTGATTCGGCGGATGATTCCATACATTCAGCTATGCTCACCATCTTAAGTGTGGTCACCGTACGACGTTGGGACGGTATTATTGACACTATTTCCCATGCTGTACTTTGCAACCCTGTGACTTATTTATTTTAAAACTGGAAGTTTGTACCTCTTCATCCCCTTCCCCTATTTCTATAAACATTTTAAAATGATCATTGTAAGACAACAGTTTGATTAGTGCTATGATAAACGTAGTAAGCTGCTCCATAGAGGAATCTTCCAAAAGAAATCGTGTTACCATTTAAAGCACTGTCCAGAGATTTTGAGTTTTATAATGGTGATTAAAACACACACACACACACACACACACACACACACACACACACACACACACAAAATAGGAGAGCCCACTATTTTGAAGGATTTGCTATTTTTAGTTACAAATTGCCATAAGTGACAACAACAAAAAAAGAGCCCAGCTAGATATTTTGGCATTCTGTGTTAGTCTCATAAGAAAACACTGCCTTTTTATGTTCTTTTAAGAGAACTTTCCAGACGGCTGCTCTTTTATTTTATCTGTTGACTACCCACCCCCCAGTCCCCGCCACCTCACCCCCCGCCCAGCTTATGTTGGTGTACTTTGGCTTTCAACTGGTCACCACTAGTACGTCTTTGTTACAGGAAACTGACTGTGTTTATTATAATCAAAAATAAAACACAGCTTGACTTGCGTTCCAAATGTGCTTGAAAAGAATATGATACTGTTTAGAAGAGAAAAGGTTGTTCATAGGAAGTCAACACCACTTCAGATATTGAAACATTCCCTTTTTTACAGCTTGTCACACTTTGTGCCAAGTCATGACTGTTTCCCTAACTCTGTTTTGTTACTCTCAGCACCATGTGTTTTGGGTTCCTTGTCATAGAAATTAATGCAAGACAATGCTCCGGGACGACAATAAAGCCTTCTATGAAACCAACTTGGGAATGCAGGCAAGGAAAAAAATTATGGTTAGCTGTTCACAGAAACCATGTGCTGAAAAATAACATTATTTTGAACTCTTTACTTTTAGATACCAGACCTATAAAAATCGCCTCCATTATTTGAGTATATAGTTGTTCGATTTCATCTCTCCTCACCCGCTTCTGTCATTTTTCTGAAGTCTAGGAATTGCTTCTCTGAACAAACTAAATGTGCACATTGTCATTAAAATTGAAAATGTTTTTATAGAATGGGAAGCAAATGTCATATTGTCACTTTGTTAACAGCGTCAGAGAAATAATCCGATTCCCTTGAGTACCGATACTGTGAACAGAACCCATAGTCCTACTTGGCCTCGTTATTTACACCGTAAGCTGTTAACTGTTAACTATTACATTGCCCACAGGGGAACCAATCACGTTTTATTTTGTTGTTTAGAAGTTTGTGGAGCACCTCACTTGTTGCCAAGCAGCAAGATCTTGCATCACAAACCTCGCCCCCTCCCACCCGCCCTGCTGCACAGGAGCCTTGGGCATGCTCAGAATTGGTTTAGGGGATCGTGATTTCCCGACAGGGAGTCTGCTTAAGGTTCTTCTCATGACCAACTCTCCATGGCAGACCTTTGGGCCCAGCAAGGTCACCATTGGGCGCCCCCTCCCTCCTACCAAGGCATTCAGTTGCTAACTCAGGAGGAGGCTGGCTCTGCGGCTGTCTTGGGTTTTCTTTGTTTCTTGCCACGGTACTTTTTTCCAGAAATGAAGGTTTCTGGACTGATGATTGCATCTAGATGGAGAAGTGGGAGACTAGGTGGAGTGGATGCAGTTATTTTATAGAAATGTACAACTTTCTCACGGAAGGGATTTTGTTCATGCTTGTCTATTATTGTTTTCCAATGCAGTTTATTTTCTGGTCTCAGTAAGTGTAAGTAAGCCATGAAATTTGGAGTGATGCTATCCTGCGATTGGCTTGAGGGGAATAATTTTGTATCTTCCTGTGATTTCTATGTGTAGTGGCTTTCATTTATCCGTTTTAAAAATTGAGATGTGATTGCCCAGAACATTGTATTGGCTCTAGGTGTACAACAAAATGATTTGATATATGCATATACTGTAAAGTGATCACCACAGAAAATCTAGTTAATATCCCTCACCACGCGTAGTTAGAAAATTTGTTTTCTTGTGATAAGAATGTCTGAGATTTGCTCTCTTAGCAATTTCTCAAATACACAATACAGTATTCTTAACTATAGTCACCATGTTGTGTATTATATTCCTAGGACATTTATTATGATGAGAAGTTTATGTGTTGTGATCACCTTCATCCATTTTGCCGACCTCACTCCACATCCCACCCCTGGCAATCACCAATCAGTTGCTTTAAGTTCGGTGTTTTAGATTCCACATATGAGTGATGGTATGGTATTTGTCTTCCTCTGATTTATTTTAACTTAATGTCCTCAAGACCCAGCCATGTTGTCACAAATCGTACGATTTCCTTCTTTTTTATGGCCAAGTACTATTCCATTATAGATACACCACATTTTCTCCATCCATCATCTGTTAATGGACACTTAGGTCGTTTCCTTTTGGCCATTGTGAATAACAATGGTTGCAGTGACCTTGGGGCTGTAGAGAGCTTTTTGAGATGGTGATTTTGCTTCCTTCAGATAAATGGTCAGAAGTAGAATGGCTGGGTCATATGGTAATTCTATTTTTAATCTTTTTGAGGAAACGCCATACTGTTTTCCATAGTGGCTGAGCCAATTGACATTCCCACCAGCAGGGCACAAGCACTCCATTTTCTCCACATTTTTGCCCACCCTTATTATCTTTAATGATAGCCATTCTGCCCAGTATAAGGCGATAGCTCATCAATGGTTTTGATTTGCATTTCCCTGATGATTAACAATGCTGAATAGCTTTACATGTACCGGTTGGCCATTTGAATATCTTCTTCTAAAAATGTCTACTTAGATCATCTGCCCATTTTTTTAAAGATTTTTGCTTATTTATTAAAAAGAGAAAGCATGCACACACATGTGCACATATGCACATGAGTGCAGGGAGGGACAAACAGACTCTAGACTGAGCAGGAAGCTGGACATGGGGCTCGAACCCATAAACCCAAGATCATGACCTGCTGAAACAAGGAGTCAGACACTCAACCGCCCAGCCACCCCGGTGTCTCGATCATCTGCTGATTTTTAATTGGATTATTTGTTGTTGTTGTTTTTAATTTTTTTTGGCCATGGAGTTTTATGAGATTTCTATATATTTTGAATATTAATCCCTTACCAGATATATGATTTCCAAATGTTTTCTGCCATTCCATACGTTGCTGTTTTGTTTTGTTTATTGTTTCGCTGTGCGGAAGTTCTTGAATGCGATGTAGTCTCACTTGTTTATTTTTTATTTTGTTATTTGTGCGTTAGTTGTCATATCCAAAAAAAATCACTGCTGAGCCCTATGTCAAGCAGATTTTCTCTTATTTTTTCTTCAAGGAGTTTTATGACTTCAGGCCTTATATTTAAGTCTGTAATTTATTTTGAGTTAATTTTTAAGAGTGACATAAGATAGGGGTCTAGTTTCATTCTTTGACATGTGAAGGTGCAATTTTGCCAGAACCATTTATTGAAGAGACTGTCTACTTTATTGAGTGTCCTTGGCTCCTTTGTCAAATATTAGTTGACTATTCATTTGGTCTATGTGTCTGTCTTTATGCTAGTACCCCAGCTGTCTTTATGCTAATATTGTTTTGATTACTATAGCTTTATAATATAGTTTGAAATCATAAAGTGTGATGTCTTCAGATTTGTTCTTCTTTCTCAGATTGCTTGGTTTTTTTGTTGTTTGTTTGTTTCTTTGGCGGGGGGTGGTCTTTTGTGGTTCCATATAAATTTTAGAATTTTTTCTACCTTGGTAAAAAGCACCATCTGTAAAAAGTGGAATTTTAATAGGGATTGCATTGGCTTTGAGTAGTACAGCCCTTTTAACAATGTTAATTCTTCCAGTCCATGAACATGAGATATCTTTCCATTTATTTCCATTATTCTTCTTCAATGTCTTTCATCAGTGGTTTGTAGTTTTCAGTATACAGATCATTCACCTCCTTTGTTTAAAAAAAAAAAGTGTTCTCATCAGAAAAGTACTATAACTGAACTCTTAATTTTATTAACTAATTTTTTATCTGTTTCATCCCAGTGTATTTGGCTCTAGGGACAATCTAGAATTAAGATGGAAAGGAGCTACAAAGGTTGCTGTAACCCCTCATTCTGGGGGCATAGCACCGAGTTACTGCTGCAGTTGGCCTTGATCCCATAACTGGGTTCCCTGTTGCCCGAATTCCCTTGGAGTCATGCCTCGGGTCTGTCTAGGCCTGTTTCAGGTAATGTGGCAGTGTTGGTCATTCAACTAGCAAACCAGTACTTTAGTGGCCCAGATATTTACTATAATAAAATATTTGACTGAATTTCTTTGCATAGGCTTATGTATTTGATAAAATTTAGGTTATTACATCAGTTCTCATTACCACTGTTCTCCATTTTTAAATTTTGTTTTTTTAGAGAGAGAGAGAGTGAGTGTGCAAATGGGGGGAAGGGCAAGGGGAGAGGGAGAGAGAGATCTTAAGGAGGCTCCATGCCCAGCAGTGCGCCCCACAGGGGCTGGATCTCACAACCTTGAGATCATGACCTGAGCTGAAGTCGAGAGTCAGACGCCCAAATGACTGAGCCACCCAGGCTCCCCTCACAGGTACTGTTACTGTTCTGTTGTGTGTTCCACAGGTAGAATCTACAGTTTCCCAGCTGTTGCTGCCATAGGATAGAGAACTACTTTGAAACCTGGGGGATGCT